CGTTTTCATATTATTTGTGGTCCGGATTCAACATGGGTATGGTTTCTCATTTCCCCGTGGTGTCCATCATAATGACTTTGCTGTTTATCAACTGCCTCATTTGAAAAAGCCTAATTGCAATGAACCAGGTCTTTTGTATATGAGAGACCAAAATAACGTCAACAATCTACAACATAAATACCAATTATCTGTACAATACACAAACATCAATTGGCAACAAATGCCTTGTGGGCTCTAAAAGGACAAATGTAAATTTTAACAATACATTTTAATGGTCAAATATTTACGTTCCACATTCGCTCGCAGTCTTAAGAATTAGTCTTGCATTATTGATTCATTGGTGGCTTGGATAAGAAGAGAGCACTGAGATCCAAGATCTATCGCATATGTACTTGGACTCTCACACATTTTGCGTCTCGAAAGTTGGGTTAAAAATACGGTCGAATATGCTGCTACCAGCTTCTTTGATTTGCTTCTTCGTCATTTTGAACAACAGGTACGTTATTTCGATCTTGTGATCATATTAAGTGACTAAGTAATTGATGTCCGTATATTTGTTTGTTGTTTAAAGCCGCACTCAGTAATATTCTAGCTATATATGACGGCGGCCTGTGAATGATCATGATCGACTGTGGACCAGACAATCCAGTGATTGACAGAGAGTCTGATCACCCGATCCCGTTAGTCACCTCTTACGACAAGCATAGACGCCTTTTATGGCAAGCATGGGTTGCTGAAAACCTATCCTACCCCGGATCCCACTCCATGCTGGTCGGAAGAGGTGACTTGGTGGATTGGGTACATTAGACACGTGACTTAGCTGAGAGCGTGTCTTTGTACCCTGACGCCGTGGATCATATACTGCACGAAGTTTGCTAATGATCACCACTTTAAAAGGTAATACGTCAAAGTGTGTGCATCTGTTGAAATAGCCAAAGTCAATATTGCGTGAACATATGTTTTAATGACTAAACGTTCGTTGACAACAAACAATATGTGACCAATAATCAGTCAAAGCACCCGTCATATCTGACCCAAAACTGAAACATAAAAAAATCACGAAAGCAAATTAATTTTCCAAAAATAAACTTTCAGTAGCGCGTATGTGATCCACGTGATGCGATAACAGCCTGGCACCGTCGTCTCATATTCCCAATGAGGGTTCCAAACTTCAGTAGGAGATCCTGTAGAAGGACACGACGTCGATCTGCAGCTCGTTCCACAGGTTTTCTGTAGGGTTGTGTTCTGGTGAAAGGGCTATCCAGTTCATGGGGACAATGGTTTCCTGCCCTAAGTAGGCATCAAAACCCTCGTTATTGTCCATGAGGATGAAGTCCGTTCCGATTGCACCAGCATACGGTCCCAAGTACACATACAGATTGTCATCCTCGAAGCGCACAGTTGGCATGGTGCCCCACTGTAGGACTTGGAGATCGATTCCTCCAGCTCTACTGATTCCACCTCAAATCATGATTGAGCCCCCAAAATAGCGGTAATGTTAGGCTACGGTGGAATCCTGAAGTCTTTTTCCTTGTCTACGCCACACTCGGGCACGACGGTCTGTTAAGTCTGGATAATATCTCGATTTATCAGTGAAATGTACTGGAGCCCAGTCCTGTCCAATTGACGTGATCTTTAGCCCTAACCACAAATGCATGCCTGTGATGTCTGGTCAGTGGGATGCGAATGCATATCATCTGTGACCGGAGACCAGCCTCACGGAGACGATTACGCACAGCTCAGTAGAAACGTAAACAAAACTGTCGTTCTGCAGATCATTTCTGAGTGTAATGGCAGTCACGAAGGGGTTGGTTGGTTGGTCGGTTGGTTGGTTTGTTGTTTAACGCCGCACTCAGCAATATTCCAGCTATATGACGGCGGTCTGTAAATAATCGAGTCTGGACCAGACAATCCAGTGATTGATATCATGAGCATCGATCCACGCAATTGGGATCGATGACATGTATCAACCAAGTGGGGAGAGAGAGATAATTCCAAATACATTCTTTAGATCCTTGAGGTATTATCTCTGTGAATGCATACAATTTCAACGGATTCATCTGGGTACTTGAGATACGACCCTTATTCCAAAAGTATTGGCTATAACACCCGGCTGTCCTAAGGATATAATAAATCACTGGTTTGTCTGTTGCAAGCTATTCACAGGCCGCCGTCATATTGCTGGGATAGTGCGGAGTTGGTCAACAAAAGATAATGAAACATCAAAATGAATTATTAAATTCAGTTTAATAACGCTGACAATGGAATAACTGTTCAATGCTTACCGTGTTATATAAAACAAAAGGCTTACATAAATTTCCTCTATACACACAATACATATTTCCTTTGTCTTGATATCTATGCCCGCTTTATGCGAGGTGTCAGTGCATCGATTCTTAACAAAAGAACATCATCATACTTCCATGTCAGAATGATGAGATCTGATTGGTTCACGTGATTTTGATAAAATTCTATGAATCAGGCCTAGGACCGAAATAAATTTCTTATTCCCTTATACCCCGCCACAAAGAAAACAGGCTGCACGTGGATTTGTAGGCGGGAGAATAAATCCCTTACACCTGGTTCGAAGCAAATACCCGCACGCTTTTCCGGACACAATGAAAGTAATGTGACACAGCACAAGTAAACTTCATCTCAAACGAACAGCTGTTTCTATCAAATTTGAATTCGTTTTAATTCTTTTACAATGGCAGATTCAAACATGGCGGTAGCATCTCCGGCACGTGTATGAACCCAAACGCGGGACACATAAAACCACATGTACCCTTCGTGATACTGCTACAGATTATAGTGTACTGCAATGACACAGTTTTGCGAAGAAATATAAAATAAATAAATAACAACAAAAAACATTTCTAAAATCATAAGATATCTCCATTGTACGATTCCGACTGTATCAGGTGTATCATAGGATAACGCGTTATAGACATATGTACAAATCGTCTACTGAGTTATTTTAATCTCATCATATTAAAAGGCCATATTTTATTAATACATGCTCGCCAAACGTGTTATTAGCTCTGTTGAGCTGGTAATTTCACTTTTTTCAGAACTCTCTTTTTTCCAAGCTGTATCCAACAAACTATTCATTTACCATCAAACAATCTATTCTTTTACTCGATGAACACAAAAAGATGATGTGGGTAGTTTCCACAAGATAAACAATTCATTTGTTTTCACCACTGCCAACAAACTATTCATTTGGGGAATATTTCTGAACATACTATTCATTCAAAAGTATGAAATAGATGCTCCTTTACTGTGTATGTCAAAGACAAAATGTACGCTCACTTGTCCTATCGACAAAAAGTTGGAAACAATGGCTGCCACGACCCTGTACTAATTTGTGTATTAAGTTGAAGCCATCTCATGGGCCTGCCAATATGTTTGTTTGTTTGTTTGTTATTTTACGCCGCACTCAGCAATATTCCAGGTACATGACGGGGGTCTGTAAATATTTGAGTCTGGACCAGACAGTCCAGTGGTTGACATTATGAGCACTGGTCCACGTAATTGGGATTCGATGTCATGCATCAACCAAGTCAGCGAACCTGACCACCCGATCCCGTTAGTCGCCTCTTACGACAAGCATGGGTAGCTGAAGACCTATTCTATCCCGGATCTTCACGGATCTACTCTGTCAAGTTTGGTTGACAGCACACATGTACGGTATTTCTCCATGTATTATACGATGTGTGTACGATTATATGTAATTATTAATCTACAGTTTCCTGATTTTCTAGGTTGACAATGCAACAAAATTAGGGACAAACTGCACTTCCTACTTTTAAGGTTTTCCACATGTATAAAAAATACCGAATACAATAAATAGGATTCAGTATTTATGCTAAAGGATGGAATGTCACATTTTTAATGCGACAACGTATGAATACCATGCATTTACTACTTTTAAAACATATATCTTTTAACAATACTAGAGAGATAATGTAAAAAGGGTGCGAAAGCTGTGTACTAAACGGCCGGGGAAAAGAAAGTATACACTTAAAATTTGGATTTGACCAAACAAATTACTGTCCATCGATGACAGGTTTTTATTTGGTATAAAGCGTTCTTTAGACAGTCAATAAACAGGTTGACATTGTCCTGACCATGAAACCTGTCGACCCGCAGGTGTTTCGTCTTGAAGTCCATGGTAGAGAGGAGTTTTGGGTCGGTTCTTTTCAACTGGCTCTCTGTCTTGACTTTGTTCTCCTGTTTCAGAGTCCAGGGGAAGGAGGGAATGGTTCGGTTCTGTCTTGGCATGGGGGAGGTTTTAGGGAAACCCTTTTTTCACCATTTGTTATCCTGTTACATATGGGTTAACAAGTTGTAATCTTATCCTTAAAGTAGAAGGGAGAATTCCGAGAGTCAGTGATCAGTCAATAAGATGTGTCAGTATGTATTGAGAGGAATATATAGCTGGAATATTGCTGAGTGTGGCGTTAAACAACAAACGAACAAATCAGAGGTCCAATATGTTGATGAAATCACGGACTTCTTTTCATAGACTATAAAGTACTGGAAACACCACTGATTTCTTGTTAGTATTTACCGTTCCTACGCAATTCCTAAACAGATGTCCATTTCCCTACACAGATGCTATCCAACAAACATCTACATAAAGGACAATGTTTCAGTTTGGAGCATAATGTCCCGAACCAAGCGAGCTTAAGCGTTTGCCCCCATACCCCACCAGATAAACAGGTAATCAATATCAAGCCAACTGGCCAATGAAAAGCATGTTACTTCCACATCAAACACGAGCGGGGGGTATTCATGTTACTTGAAATTCATTCATGCGAATGTATCCAAAAAATATATGAAATACGAGTAATCGATCATGAATGTTAATAAGCCTCGTATGTGATTACTGTTGCTATCGTCACACAGTCCCAATGTCACATGACTCCAGAGACGACATGAACAAACCAAGCCTGACATAGTGTCTTGAGTTACAGTAGTAATTCTGGTAGCAGTGATAGAACCTGCCAACCAAACTTGCAAAATGAGGCTCACACTTCATCATTTGATCATCATGGGCTTGGATCTCTGTCACATTAGGTACGTCCTGGAGTTTGTTACATATATGGTTGTTATGTGATACTTAACTATACCTTTTATTATCCCCCGCCCAACAAAGTTGGCGGGGTATATAGAAACGGGCTCCGTCCGCCCGTCCGTCCGTCCGTCCGTCCTTACGACCGTCCGTCACGTTTCCGGAGCATAACTCATAAACCGTTCAATATTTTTTCATCAAACTTTGCAGGTCTGTCAGGTACATGCTGCACTTGGGCCTTTTGCTATTTAGAAATTTTAGAAATGTTTATTTTTTACGTTTCCATGGCAACAAGATGGACTTAGGTTCTGTGAGGGTAGGGTTCGTTTCCGGAGCATAACTCATAAACCGTTCAATATTTTTTCATCAAACCTTGCAGGTTTGTCAGGTACATGCTGAACTGGTGCCGTTTACTATATAGCTATTTTAGAAAGAAAGAAAAAAATTTACGTTTCCATGGCAGCAAGATGGACTTAGGTTCCAAACTCTGCTTTTTTTTACAATTTCCTTGACAAGTTCCGCCTCGGTTAAAAAAGGTTAGGGTTTGTTTAGATTTAATTATGTCATAAATTCTGCAACAGGGGCGGGGGATATAGCCACGTTAGTGGCAAACTCTTGTTTTAAACCTTGGGACTCCTGGTAAGAATATACGTCCACAGCATATTGCATCACTATTTATTACGGTGATGTACAGCACACTGCGGAGGACACCAGAAATAGCCTTCACACATGGAGTCCATGTCGGGAATAGAAACCGGGCTTTCAGCGTGACAAGCAAACGCTTTAGCCACTAGGCTACCCAACCGCCCAAAGACCTATATGAAAATCTTAGATCCCAGTTCGCAAACTAGCTGCCACATTTTACTGAATTGTATGAAGACATTGAGAAACAATGGGGGAAAGTAGGATTTCACCGGGGAATGAAGTATTTACAATTATTTTCCTACCAGTATCTTGATATATCCTATATGTATTTTATGACTATAATTATTCAATTTATATATTTGGTCTATCGTGTGTAATATTCGTGGACAACTGAGCTATGACACCAGCCTCACAGCAGGGGTCTGTGTTGAAATAGCCCCGGCAGCCCATGCTGGAAGTTCAAATTGTTAGTGACTTGGTTGATTACGTGGCACTACATGGATAGATCGTTTCTCATAATATCAATCATGGCTCCAGAATCTGACCATTTACAAGCCGTGGTCATGTAGATGGAATATTGGAGTTCGGTGTTCAAAACCTGTGGTTGCTGTTAGTTATATATAAATGACTTGCGTGTTTTTTCGGCGTGTTGATTTGTCCGTGGAAAGACAATGTCAATGAATTAACCCAAACTCCAAAATCAATCCACTTGACACGAGGTTTCTACGATGCAAGTATGTTTTCACATTGGTCAACTCTTAGAGAAGTAAATGGTGTCTTGAAGAAAGTGAAATCTTGCCGTAAACATTACGCTCTGCATAAAGGATAATCACTTGTCTTTAACGCTGATTTGTGTGGACAGTTTTAACTACTCTTCATTATTAAAGTTATACAATTCTTATGTGTAATATAATTTGCAGTAGAGAGTGTTGTAAGTATGTCTGAAGTAACTGTCAGAATCAGCAAATGATTGAAACTTTGAACCCCAGTCGGAGGCAGTGAACAGAGCTTTTCAAAATGTTTTGTACGAGAATTAATCTGCCCTTGTTGTACATGCTACTGCGGCAGGCTTGTCCTTCGAGAGATTTAGGGGTTGGGCAGTTTCTAGAAGGCTATCAAGAGCTACAAGAAGGTGATTCTAGTCCTGTTCTAATTCTCTTGCAAAGCTCATTTTGGATAACTATTTAGAAATCGATTCGTAAAACAATTGAAGTATTAATTCCACTGGGGACAATGCAACATATATTTCAATTACATGTTCACTAAGATAAATGACAGACAAGGTAATTTGTTTGTTTTTTAAATTAAGATCTAAAAATAATTTCCATGCTCCAGAAACATTGCTGGATAGGAGCCAATGGGCGTCCAATAACGATGGTACCCGTGAAGATTCCGGGGTAGAATAGGTCTTCAGCAACCCATGCTTGTCGTAAATGGCGACAAACGGGATCGGGTGGTCAGGCTCGCTGACTTGGTTGATGCATGTCATCGATCCCAATTGCGTGGATCGATGGTCATGATATTAATCACTGGATCACTCAGCTGGAATATTACTGAGTGCAACCAACCAACCAACCAACCAACCAACCAATAACGATGGCTTACTGCACATTGTCTTGCATTGTTCAAGCTTTCACTTTCACCTGTGTCACACGTAGCAATCAATCAGTTTTTAAAAAAACCCAACGTGGTGTGATAAGTATCTTTGAAAGGACGCGACATCACCAGGTGTTTGACCATAGCTACTCAGACAAAGATATAGACAATTAAATGTTAGTCCTTTTGTTTAGCAGCTCTTTGGTGCATTTTTTTATTCGGATGAGAGACGTTTAAGTGATAGTGGAGTTTATTTGGTTAATATTTAATTAAATATAAAGCATCATTTGCTCATTTTACCATGACTGCATTTTGTGGAAACGATGGTCGTTGATCAACATCAAAACACGGGGTCACACTTCACACATCATAAATTTGATTCCAATACTTTTGTTGTCTGTTGTGTATGCAAATACCAGATAACGTTTAACACCTGTTTTCCCATGAGTACACGATCACTTGTAAGTACTCCATTCTGTCACAAACTAGAGATCGATTGTGGCATGGACTAAACTCGTGGAGGCATATTACTGTCACAAATGTGATCGATCGATCGATCCGGAAGTTAAATTAAGTTGAAACTGATAGAGCGAGGTAAAAGGTCGATGAGTGGACGAATAACATGAACAAGGCGATGTGGGTCATTAACAGCAAGGTAAGAGAGCACTAATACAGGTTAGATGGTTGACGTAAAATGACAGAAATACTGAATATCCTGGCAATGTTTACACCCATTTATTCTCAAATCATATACATTTCACAGCCGCTACACCTTACCTTTTCAGACGTATTTTTATAAGAGTTATGGGTTGGAGGGTCTTGCGTCGGCAGCTGTTACTAGTATACATGGCATAGGAAGAACATTAAACCACTTCGTAACACTTTCAAGACGTTTTTGGTAGACATGTTGAGGCTTTTCCAAATTGGACGCATCAGTGACCAAAATGATGTCCGGTGCATTTCCCTATTTTGAAAAATAATTGCTTGCAATGTGTTTTAGGTGAACAATTGGCTAACCTCTGTACACGTGATTGTGACGGGTGCCAACGATGTAGCAGGAAACTGACACCTTTCGTGAACACCTCGTGTCATCACTATTGGACAGAAAAACAAGTCTTCAGGTCGCACGGCCACACATGCCAGATTTGGTTTGTTTGTTTGTTGTTTAACGCCGCACTCAGCAATATTCCAGCTATATGACGGCGGTCTGTAAATAATCGAGTCTGAACCAGACAATCCAGGGATTAATATCATGAGCATCGATCCCCGCAATTGGGATCGATGACATGCATCAACCAAGTCAGCGAGCCTGACCACCCGATCCCGTTAGTCGCCTTTTACGACAAGCATAGCTATTGGACAGTGACTCATAACACACGCTCATGATATAATCGGAACTGAACAACGGACGCAGCACCATGCTTACTAGAAGGGTATGAATGCGGGAATGTGTGTAATTGAGACCCGAGAAAGGGGATCAAAAAGCTCCGATTTCGCATCTATGTGAATTGATGTTCAAAATCACTCAAGGAGAGGACAAATTCATCGATATCACCCGCAGTGGTTATTTCTTCTCGTGAATATGTCAACTAGTTATACTGATTGCATGTCAAGTGTAATGGTATTTGTGGGGTCGTTTTGTTCCACAATAAAAAAAATTGGGAAACTTTAGAAAACATTATTGTTCACAAACCTCGTTATTTCTAAATCGTATTTCAGAGTACTGGTTATAGATATTTCAACTGTTGTAACATGCCAACCAACCCATGAATTTGGTAGAAAAACAAATCCAAATTCCACCATGTTTGAAGCGCATGTGATTGCAGTGGGAGAGATATATGGTACATTTCTTCCTTGATGCAAATTGCTCATCCATGGCGAGAACGCAGTGGCAATGTGTCAGTGTGTACACTGGTTGGCGAGGTATCATCAGGTAGCGAGTTTCTATGACACAATGAGCACTAACAACAGATACCAATCTGTCCGCTACAATATCCTCGTAGTGTATTGGCAGAGAACATTGAGGCGAGCAACTACCAATTCTTCTCTTGTTTTGTTAAACATGTACAGTTATATTGCGGCGTGTCAGGTTAATATGGGAGGAAAGCCTGAAGTGATGTAGATCTCAGACGTTTACCACTAGCGCATACAGTGGAGACCATATACAATTGTAATTGATTTTTGAAAAATGTCTTTATTGTATAAATGTGATTATCACATACACAGCAAATATTACAATAGAAAAATAATGTATTTTGGTAAAAAGTATGAACCGGAAAACGAATTTCCTGACATTATATCAGCGACAAAACAATAGAGCCACAATGCCTTGCTGCTGACCTTAATTACAAAAACAATCAGTCACAGACTGATCAAATATCAAAATAAAAAAATATACAAAACTATCTCCAACTTGCGTGTCAAATTTCAAAAGCACACATGCAGACGTGGCTGAGTAATAGTCAAAATAGTCAAAATATACATTCTCAATATGTCCGCCATGCTTAAAGCTATACTTTCCCCGACAGCAGGACCAAAACAAGAGTCATTAGGAGATGACAAATCCCCTCGGCCCCTATAAAAGCAACAGGCACCACTTCAGCAACTGGTTAATACTACATGTACCAATTATGGATGACAAACGTTTCATGGTTTTCAAGTTATGCGCTCTAGAAACAAAATACGGACAAACGGATGATGAATATATCCCCCCGCATTTACATGACGGGGGTATAACAAGACCTCTGACCAAATTTTCAAATATCCATAAATATATTGTGAGAGTCTTCATCAGTCCACCTCAGTGTTTGCAACACTCCAACATTTCTGGGTTACTATATATCTCTCAAAACATTATGCAGGAATTCCACTGAATTAAGTTCAAAAGGAGAAAGCTCTTTGTTGGTAGAATCAGCTTAATGTGTGAGGAAAGCCCGAAGTGATGCAGGTCTCAGACGTTTACCACTTCGGTGCCTGGAAACAAACCTAGAAACATAATAGGGGCGAACCGGGATTCGAACCCACAATCACAGCTTTCTGGCGTGCCAAAGGGACACAACTCTGCACAGCGAATCGCGGCGCCTTAGACGACTGGGCCACCTGTGCCCTAAAATGAAAAGTGAAATAGTGGAGTCTAGTGAAAGGACTAGTGGTAGATTGATACATATGATATAGGCAAAGTAACCATGTAGTATGTAATGAATAACCAAAGGTTTAGTGTATAAATATACATTTAACATTCAAAGACAAAATTACCTCTTCAAAGCCCCATCCTACAGTCTCGTTGCAGTTCAATTTCACTTCTTTCATTTCTCCTACTGGTCGGGTATTTCTGATTTGTAGGTCAAATTCCAACTCTCTACCGCAGCAACTGATTCTTGGTCATCATGTATCTCTCACAACACAAGTGTGGTTTTGTAAATAATGACAACAGATGCCAGGCACTGGGTCATTGTCCTCATCCCAACGGACCACTGTCAAAGACTGCCGCGATGCTTCTGTTTGATAGACTCGCGCAATGGTTTCAATAACTTGGCATAATATTCACCATTCAATGTTGTTCCCAGTGGTGTATAATCGATGTATATTAGCGCTGAACTGTCCAAAAAGAAGGGTGCCTCGACGTTCTTAATGGCTCTGGTCGTTTCATTGTTCAAACTCACTTTCCCGGGGCTGAAATTCCTCCACCCAACGTCTAATTGTGGGATAAAATGGGGAAGCTTTCCAAAAACAGAATGCAACCGTTCATCCATATTCTTTGGTGATTGACTCTCTTGTCATAATGTTGTAAACCCCCTTTTTCTAATTCAATGCTAAGAAGTACGATGACTCATCACACACAGGTCAGTACTAATATTCGTCATTCTTAGCATAACAATTTAGAATTTACTTTCATTTTGTGCGAGTTCAATTGGCGTATGGACCTAAACTGTATGTACATCAGAGCTTTGATTCAGATTATGTGTTTCAGATTACAATGTTCCATGGCGTATGTGCAGCAACTCAAGTTCTCCCACTCGGAGCACTACAAGGACAAGCTAAGAACAACCAGGATCGTTAAGATTGGGTCCGCCAGAAGCATGCTTCATTGTGCACAGTTATGTTCAGAGATGGAGACTTGCATTTCCTTCTTCCACAACAAGATCACAAGGCACTGCAGTCTCCATGACGTCATCTTTTTCAGCCCAGATGATGGCACTGATTGTCCAGGGATGAAATATTATGTTTTCGACCATGGTATGTATTTCCCAATATTTTATGTAAAAAACTATTTAGTACTAAACTCATTATTTTTCATGATTTTCAAGGGCAGAATAAGAGTCATCTGTATACCCTGCCAGTATCCGGAGATGAATTGTGGTGATTGGACCTGAATGATGGCAGACAGAATATTTAAAATACTGCTGCATCGGCAACTACTTCTGACTCACTTACTGGATATAACCTTGACTAGTATGCATGATACGCACTCAATTGCAATGGACGATTCTCCTAAAGCATAGCGTCCTGCAGGGCGTACACTGAGCACAGGTTAACACTTAATATGGCAAATGTTTCATTCGGACAAAACAGGGTTTAAGTCACGCATGCAGTCGCCTTAACAATATTCATTGACGTGATCCACAAAGGGCATGTTGCTAAGGGAGGCTTTGGTATCAATATACGTGTGATTTAACATAAAGCCTAACTTGAGCAGTTTTTATTTAATAATAATAATTTAATGTCTCATATGGAACCAAAAAAACATGAAACAAAATGTTTATAAAGGCTTTCCAGAGAGGGGAAGTAGGGTTAACATTTATTCCAGCAATACCACGGCGGGGACACCAGAAACTTCTCTTTGTACCAATATCCGGGGCTTCAGCGCGACGAGCGAAAGTTTTCACCACAACGTTTAGCACGTTCACCCAGGGCATGTTGGGAAACTATATTCTAACCGGAATACCAAAAGGTTTTGTAGGATGTTTGATGTTTAACGCCGCACAATGTTCCAGCTATATGACGGCGGTCTGTCAATAATCGAGTCTGAACCAGATTATCCAGTGATTGATGTTATGAGCATCGATCCACTTAAGCCTGACCAAGCAATGTCGCCTCTTACGTTTTTGTTTGTTTGTTTGTTGTTTAACCCCGCAGTTAGGAATATTCCAGCTATATGACGGCGGTCTGTAAAATAATCGAATCTGGGCCAGACAATCCAGTGATTGACATGAGCATCGATCAAGCAATTGGGATCGATCCCGTTAGTCGCCTATTACGACAAGCATAGTCGCCTTTTACGGCAAGTATGGGTTGCTGAAGACCTATTCTACCCTGGAATCTTCACGGGTCTTACGGCAAGCATGGGATGCTGAAGACATATTTTAACCAGGATCTTCACGGGGAGGTTCTGGTGTCAAATTTGTGTGATTTAACATAAAGCATGACTTGAGCAATTTTAATTATGTCGCACATGGAATCTTAACAAATTAGCATGAAAGATACAATGTTGATAAGGGTGTTCATGAAGGGGGAGTCTGATTTTACACTATTTTAGCAATATTCCAGCAATATTACAGCGGGGGACACCGTCTGCACACTTTGTACCCATTTGTTGAATCCAAGTCATCAGCGCAACGAGCAAAGGTTTTCACCACTACATTTAGTATGTTCACCACGAGCTTCTCGGTAAGGGAAATACATTTGTGGCAATCGAACATTTACTGAGCGGTAGTACCATCATTTTACTCGCTCTGGATAACAGTCTATGGTCCATCAGAAAGTATCCAAGTTGGCGATTGTGACGGAGGGATGGTGTGGACATATCAGATGAAGTGCGAGGAATGATTGAAACGTACCTAAACCTTATATGACATCAATCACATCATGCCAGAGACGTATATCCACAAAACCCTGATTTGCAGACACTGCATGTTCCTATAGCTTGTCAATTTTTAAAATGAAACAATTTGCTCAGTCGAGTAAGTTTATTGTGGACATGATGTTGGTCGGTTGGTTTGTTGTTTTAAGCCGCACTCAGCAATATAATAGCTATATAACGGCTGTCTGTATTAATCGAGTCTTGATTCCTTTAGTCGCCTTTTACGACTAGCATGGGTTGCTGAAGACCTATTCTACCCCGGATCTTCACGGGTCCTTTGACACGATGTAACGTCCACAGCACTATTATGCAATTCCTTCTGTGCGAGTCAACCCTTGTATAACATTGGCTCATTTCTGTTTCAGGAGGCTGCTCCGTCACAATGGGGTTCATCTACAGTCGGATCAGTAAGGTCTGCTTCAGCATCAGGACTACAGATGGTCACATGACGTGGCCTGAGTCTAAATTGTTTTGCAAAATCAGGAAGTTTCGGCTAGCAACTGTAGACAGCAAGGAGAAGTATGAGTATACTGTTGCTACAATCAGAGAGAACTCTCGTAAGTCCTACATTGGCTGGATAGTGAGTGAGTGAGTGAGTTGGGTTAACGCTGCTTTTAACAGTATTCCAGTCATATCGCGGCGTGTCAGCTTAATGTGGGAAGAAAGCCCATAATTGGGGCGAAGCGGGATTCGAACCCGCAATCATAGGTTTCTGGCGTGCTCAAGGAACGCAACTCTGCACAGCGAATCAGGGCGCCTTAGACGACTGGGCCACCCGTTACCCCGGCTGGATAGTGTGACAAATACTGTTGGTCTGTAATACTATGGTGTGCTGTTTGGTCACTGCTTAAAGACATTATATTTCTCTCAATGGAGAAGTCGAACAATTGTTCGGTGTTTGACAAACACGATTTAAGGACACACAACATGTTACACTAAAACATATACATTTTCTTAACCAAATGTTTTATCAGAAACTTGGTAGCTCAAGTGACAAAGACTTGAGTGCAGATGGATGACGGATAGGGTGAGTAACCCAACTGTTGGTTTGAGAATCATCCCAGTGGTGATTGGGGGGTAGAAAAGGCCACGAGCATCCCATGCTTGTCGTGGAAGACGACTATAATGGATTTGAGTGGTCAGAGCCGATTACTTACGAACTATAAAAGATCTAGGATGCATTGAGCAGTGCTTTGACATTTTAGACGTCCTGGCAGTTGTTCTGAATACTAAAATCTATGTGCTCGAAGTACGTTTGTTGAATACTTTGTATTTTGGAGGTGTTAATCGATGTTACTTTATTGTTTTTACCTATAATTTCATTTGCAGATCTGTGGTTTGTCTTGAGAATAGTTTAAATATCTTAGCAGTATGTGTGTTCAAGTGTAAACGTAATTGTGAGGTACCAGAAAACAAAGTGAGTCCGTCAAACAAAGAGAATCAGTCAAAAACAGTTGCTTACATGGATGTCACGTGCTGATCAGGGGTAGAATAGGTCCTCAGTAACCCATGCTTGCCGCAACAAAAGCACCTATGCGTTTAGTAAGAAGACGACTAAGGGGATTGGGTGGTCAAGCTCGCTGACTTGTTTCATGCATGTCATCGTATCCCAATTGCGTAGATCGATGCTCATGATGTCAATCACTAGATCGTCCTGTCCAGACTCCCTTATTTACTAACCACCGTGATATAGCTGGATTATTGCTGAATGCGGCGTTAAACAACAAACAAACACATTTTTTTGGGTGGAATAATGGCAAATGGAAAGAATTGTGTCTGAAGATACGCATGCGTCCGTCCACCTTAGGCATTGATGCAGAGCTGACACCTTCGACTCATTGATGCTTGGGGAATGGTATTCCATCTCTGAGGAAGGATAAGCCAGAGTTCCTGCAACGTTGTTGGGGGATTTTGAAGCCGTCGTAAAGGTCGTTCCATTTCATTCCAGACCTGTTTGCTTCGTGACAGATTTGGGGGATATTGCAGGCCATGATAACTCACTAACATGACTGGTGCTGTCAGAGATACTGATGTACAACTCTAGCAATATCTCTTTAGTGTTAAAGGGGAAGTGTACACGCAAAAATCACTTTCTTTCTTTTTCTAAACAAAACGCAATTTTAGAATTAGTTAGTATCTGTGTTTGAAAATATACACTCATTTTTTTCACAGTGAAAGTAGGAAGCTCACAATAGTGTGAAAATGATATGCCGTTATGAGGCCTTCGTTTTTCGAGCTAAACAGGCCTGAGTTATCCCCCTTAGATTATGACGTAATTGGTGCCAATTCAACTGGGTCCCTGTCTATTCTCAACGCAAAAGATATCCAGTACCAGTTTGCGGTAAAACAACATGGCCTACGACACACTCCGGCGCAGTGGTGACTCAGCATAACACTATGCTGGCTGGCATCTGAGACGCTAGAATCACACACCTAGACCTACACCACGTGAAGCGGCTCTAACAAAGCATGATGACGTCATAATGTTTATCAATTGGCACCAATGACGTCATATTGCAAGGGGCATAAGCCATGGTGTTTTTGTTGTGGAAATAGAACACTTGGTAAATGTGAAAAATATAAATCGTATTAATGCGAAAAATATGTTAATTAATTGTGATATTTTTATATTTTTGTCTATGACACTTCTAGGTTAACACTTTTAATGTGGAAAAAGTACAAGAAAAATAGGTTAATTTCCGTGTGAACTTGCCCTTTAATTCAGAGATGTAAAACATCGACTTACAAATCTCATCCCAGTATCTCATATCATTCAAATCAGTCACAATGATGTTGTGTCCTTCCTGTAAACGTTCTTCCACGTCAGATCATAACGTCACAACCTCCAAAAGTAATCACGTTCAAGAACACATTGGGTGATGTAACGTTCATCTGAAGAAAAAAGGATGGCTCAACGGTGACGAGGACTCATTCCTGTTGACTGACGTATTGTCTGCACCATCGGATACTTTGACGTTGATGTCTTTAGCAATAGGCTTGGCGCTCAGCATGAATCCCAAAGATGCTAGGACATTGTCAAACTGTCCTGCCAGATACGCCTCTCTTGACAGCTATAGTACGGACTGTGAGATTTGCTGTCTGGAACATATGTCAAAGATGCAAAGGTTCAAATTTAATCCATGTGTTTGCAAGGGCCACGTGAATAGTCTGGTCCAGACTCGGTTATGTAGAGACCGCCGCTATATAGCTGGAATATTGTGGAGTGCGGCGTTAAACAACAAACAACGAAACAAACACTTTCCTCTTTCTTGTTCTCTTTTCTGTTCCTCTGAACTGTACATGGTTCATTGGAACCTCACACATGTCTTATGTGTAGCTATACAAGGATAACACATACATGATCTAATGTTCAAAGTACAAGAATATAAGCATAAATCATTTTCAAAACAACATACAGTACGAGACTGGACAACCACACCCAACATCAAAACCATCCAACCAATGTTAAAACTTCTCAGTGACTGCCCTGAATTTTAGGGGACAGTCACTTAAAAACCCATTCAGTCACACAGCTCATACAACAAAAGACGTGCACACCCGTCCCGAGCAATCATACATAACACATTTAAATCTCCCAGTTTAATACATACCGTCCAACCACACTCTAATACATAGTCAAACCCACCTATAAGAAATATATACAATGTGAAGAGAGTTAAATACGCAGTTAATTGATTTAACATATTTGAGGCGGCGTTATTGAAGTGATGGGTCGTTAGACTGTCAAGAGGAGATGCCTCAGGCCTTAGTGATGATAGTATATATATTCTTTTTTTACTATTTCACAATGGAGCAATGATCAAGTTTCTAGCAGATGCTCTGTAGCATCGGAAGTCTATCTAGGTACAAACTCACCTATCCCTGTCACTTCATGAAATAAAACGTCTCTTGTTAATATGTTCATATTAAACTGGGATATTAACTGCAACACTATTTGAGGTGACCAAACTTGTTGATAATAAGTGAGTGAGTTGGGTTTAACGCTGCTTTTAACAGTATTCCAGTTATATCACGACGTGTCAGCTTGATCTGGGAGGAAAGCCCGAAGTGACTCACGAGCACGGGTATGGTGCTGACAAACCTAGAAACATAATAGGGGCGAACCGGGTTTCGAACCCACAATCCTAGGTTTCTGGAGTGCCCAAGGGACGCAACTCTGCACAGCGAATCGCGGCGCCTTAGACGACTGGATCACCTGTGCCCCCGTTGATAATAAGGTTTGGACTATCTAGTCCCATAAACCTGGGGAGGATACACTGCATTTTCATAGTACTCTGATTTTTTGGACAGTTATGTACACAAGGGACCATTTTTATTTTAAACTTTCATTTTAAAATAATCACCATGTGTACACGCACTTACATAAAGCCAATAAACTGACAACAACCGCGTGACGATACCAGTTTCGAGAATTCAATGAAAATATTGCTGATTGTATGGATATGTTAGTCACGCCACATTTGGAAAATACAACGCTATATGATTTGTTGGTTAACATTAAAATTAATACTAAGCAAACTCAAAGTAATTGTTTGAATAATTCGATGAATGTGCATGCTGTTTCTATTATCGTGACTTTGGTTTTATATATTATACAGTACTGCTGTCGCCATGTAGGTGGTTGGAAAATCAAAAAATACATTTAAAACAGAGAGGGATAGTCTATAATTCTTCGTCATGAAAAAGAAACACACAGGGACCATATTTGACATGTGTGTTTCCCATGTATAACTACCGAGAGTTTTGTAGTGAAATCGAGTGGTGCCTATTTTCTAACTGAATTCAAGGCATCATAATTTAAAATAAGTAGTTGTGCCGACGAAATGCCAGGGCCCGGGTTGTTTATCAGAACAGAAAGGTGTGAGTGTTAACATTTAACGTCGCCATTTAGCGATGGAACAAACTACATATACTGAATCATTGTCAGTAAAACATCAAAGTTAATAGAACTAATTCAATATACAACAGACTAGATAGACACAGAAAATAGATGTCAGCTATAATGCACATGATAAAAGCATGTAATGTTAACACACTAACCCCCCTGTGTGATACAGTTTAACAGAATAGAGATACATGTGTATGATTTCGTTCTTTAGCGAAGAGGTATGTTTCTTTAATGCGTGGCCGTTTGACAGTTATGCCCAAGCGCTCCAAACATAGCACAAAGGATGGAAGTATGGACTTCTTGTCTTCAATCCCAACGTTAAGGAATTAATCCAAAGAGAAGCACACTCGTCCATTTACTACAAATAGTATTGAAACTAAACGAATTTTATTTCCGTACATTTACTATGATTGCACAATGTAATTTATCATCTAACTACCTGAATCATGTTCATTTTCGTTCTTTAACGAGTAGGTAACCGTGTTGACTTTTTCAGGTTTCTTGACAACTTCCAACTACTATATTGGTCTCAGTGACAGAGCAAAGGAAGGGAAGTTTGTTTGGATTGATGGAACCCCTGCACACTGGACCAAGTGGAGCCCAGGCAGGCCAAAGACAGATGTAAACAGAAACTGTGTCATGTTGGGAGGGAATGCCGAATATAATGGAGAGCTCAAATTTGTGGAAAAAGATTGTGGACAAAATCGGTTCCTTTGGATTTGTGAAAAGGTTCTGACATAGGCCGGAAGAGACAACACTGTGACCCGAGGTAAAACCCGTTAGGATATGTGGAAAGGTTCTGCCCTTACACAGTAAGAGATGCATGGACGACAGAGCCCCGTGGCGACCTCAGGCTTAACATGGACGTGTCTGTCCTTATGTGCCTAAACATACAGCAAACAGGATGGAAGTATGGTTTTACATATTTAAATGCCAAGGCTAACGACAAGAATTAATTTTAAAAATAAACTCTGCGATTGACGTCAAATAGCATTGAAATTAAACTGAGTGAGTGAGTGAGTGAGTGAGTATGATTTTACGCCGCTTTTTGCAATATTCCAGCAATATCACGGCGGGGGACACCAGAAATGGGCTTTACACATTGTACCCATGTCGGTAATCGAACCCGGGTCTTCGGCGTGACGAGCGAACGCTTTAACCCCCAGGCTACCCGACCGTCCTGAAATTATACTGACCCGGAAAGAAACGTCACCACGGATAGATATATGAGAAACCTTATTTGTCCAAACACTATAAACATACTTTGAGACATATTAAAAAGAAGCAACTTGGCAACACCGTTCATCAAGGTTGAAATTAAAGGGTCAAATATTCTTAAAGTGAAACAGAACACTAGTCTCTGAGAAAATGGCACCACAAGTCAATATCTCGTGTGTCAACCATGTGCAGTGATGACTGCCGTGCAACGTCGATACATGGAATGGATGAGTCGGTTGATGAAGGCCATAGGCACTTGAGCCCACACGCTGAGGAACGCCTGACGTAGTACAGCTGCAGTTGTCAGCCTTGGTTGGACGTCATACAGCCGTCTTTGAATCTCGTCCCACAGGTGCTCAATGGGATATAAATCGGGACTGAGGGCAGGCCACTGCATGGTTCTGATGCCATTCTTCTGGAGGAAGTCTCTTGTTGCTCTTGCAGTGTGGCCACGGGCGTTATCATGCTGAAACTCGTGGTTGCGGCGACATACCAAATGAGGTATGGCGTGTGGCCTCACGACTTGATCAATGTACCGAGCTGCTGTGACACCATTGCCTCTCCCTGGACCGATGTTCTGGAAGACCCCAGGGCCGACCCTCTATGCAAGACCAATACCACCCCACACCATGATGCTCGGACCACCCCACGAGTCTCCCTCAACAACACAAGCATCCGAATAACATTCTCCACGGCGTCGCCAGACTATCTGCCATCTGCTGTTGAGATACAGTAACGGCTCTCGTCTGAGATGAGGACTCTTCTCCACTGGTGGTGGCGCCAATGCTGGTGCTGTGTTGCCCACTGAAGACGGTCCTGGCGATGACGTGGTGTCAGAATGGGTCCTTGGTGTGGCCTGTGACAGTGAAGGTGTCTGCTCGTCAATCGTTGACGCACGGTGTCTGCACTAATGTGTCGCTGGTGTGTCACCATGGTCTGTCGAGCAGTTTCCACATCAGTAACAAAGCGATTTTGAAGTTGCTGTCGCACAATCTGACGATCCTGACGTCGGGTGGTGACCCTTGGTCTTCCACTACGTGGTCGGTCATCTGTAGTGTTGGTGGTCTGGTACCGTTGCTGGAGCCTGTATATGGTTCTTACGTGGACTTGAAATGCATTGGCTACTTGCCGGGCGGTTTGTCCAGCTTGCAATCGTCCAAGAGCTTGGTGTCGTTGATTTCTTGTCAATCTTGGCATGTGGTCGCAATTCAATGACGAATGAATAACGATCTGGGTGGATTTTTATAGGGCAAGAAATGGGGGAACGCATGTGCATTTAAATTTGCACAGGACTCACGTGCATCGGGTTACCATGGCCGTTGCCGTGATGCATTTGGGCGATCGGTTTTATTGTTATCTGCTTTGCTTTTTTATCATCAAATTTCATTTTTCCGGACAAGGTAATGTTAAATTATAGAAATTTTGACAAAAATTATCCAAATGTTTAAACGACAACTTTTCATGCAATGTTACTTGTTACTTACTGAGATACTATGCCGCAGTTTAACCTGAATACCCCACTCAGACAGTGTACTGTCGAGACGACCAGTCCTTGTGTTAGCCCCTTAATGCCAAGCGCCAGACAGGGTAACAACAAGTACCATCTTTTCACGTCTTTTGGTATGACGCGGCCGGGGATCGAACCCCGGATCTTTCGCTCTCCGGGCGGACGCTCTACCACAGAGGCGGTCGGACAGACTAGAAGGAGGGTAAGGGTGACGAGAATGCATTAATGAAGTAGCCGAACTGAAATGTATAAAGTACATCGGAACAAACAGAAACTAAGTAATCGGCAGCCTAGACAACGGGGATACTTTAGATCAACGAAGAACCAGGACCTGACTTTACCAATGTGGTGTTAGGCAGTTAGGTAAATAATCGAGTCTGGACCAGATAATGCAGTGATTGATATCATGACGCCGCACTCAGCAATATTCCAGGTATATGACGGTGGTCTGTAAATAATCGAGTCTGGACCAGACAATCCAGTGATTGACATCATGAGCATCGATCCACGCAATTGGGATACGATGACCTGCATCAACCAAGGCAGCGAGCTTGACCACCAGCTTGACTCTTACGACAAGCATAGTCGCCTTTTACGGCAAGCATTGGTTGCTGAAGACCTATTCTCCCCCGGATCTTCACGGTTCCCCAATTATCCGTGCTCGACACGTTACTCACGTAACCGACTTGGTGTACGAAATTATGTTGTGTTTCGCAGCTTTTGGCTGTTCGTGAAGACAAACGAACCATGCAAATTGTTCAGTTTCTGCCTGAAACACTTCTTGCTTATTGGCCGAATTTTCATGCACCTTGTTTCAATCGACCTTTTATGATGTTGATAACGAAAATAGGATACTTGCTTTGTTATTATGTATCCCCATTGTGCGACTGTCACGACTGTCATTTTAAAAGTGTCTGTCAGTCCGGACAAGAATTACTAAGGAACACAGTCAAGTGGACTACAAGTTTCATTTAAAACTATCTCAAAAACAACTTAAGAAAGTTAGTTTAAGATACTCTGATAGCCGTTAAATCAGGAGAGGGAATACAGTCCATTCATGCTTTAGATGATAGAGATGATTATTCCGTTCTGATTGTAAATTTAGAATATGTAGCTTACTAAAGAAATCAAGGCCAGGTACACATCTTATATTTAGTGAAATCACAATTTATGCCTACGTGCCTGATCGCAGACTGTGTATGGCGACCATTGTGCTTAAAAAGAACCACTGACTTGTGAAAGGAGAGAACCAATTCTTCATTAGTTACACTAAACCACACAGATATGTCCCTGACACGGTGGGGAGACGGCTCAAGCATTTGTGTAAAGATGTTGGTTGGATTGTTGTTTTACGCCGCACTCAGCAATATTCCAGCTATATGACAGTGGTCTGTAAATAATCGAGTCTGGACCAGACAATCCAGTGGTTGAAATCATGAGCATCGATCCACGCAATTGGGATCGATGACATGCATCAACCAAGTCAGCGAGCCTGACCACCCGATCCCGTTAGTCGCCTCTTACGACAAGCATAGTCCCCTTTTATGGCAAGCATGGGTTGCTGAAGACCTATTCTACCCCGGAATGAACTCTGAGTGGCTTACATTATGCTGTCAGAGGCGAGAGAAGTACTTGACTGTCAGTCGTCAGATGAACTGTTAGCTGATGTCTATGTCAGTTCGGTAAACACTGGGCTCTGCCATAATTGAGAATATTTGGGAAATGCACCATAGTTGACCCTTCTGTCGAAAACGAACTCTCGTAAGCTGATATGTAAAATCTGAGTCATAAGAATGTATCCTCGCGTACTGTGTTTTCGAGGCCATTAGAAGTATTGCTGATTACGGGTCCTATAACAATCCCAATACACTAAAATTGAGTCTTTACTTACATGTATTGCTGTTTACACTTCAGTGGGCAATTGACCATATCTAGTCAAATCAACAGTGATAATTTCCTGCCAAGAGTCAATCAGCCGACATTTTGTTACCGTCACCTGATTTCGAGACATTCCATTACACACCACATGATCAGTCACGTGACATTACAGACAGGCCGTTTACAAACAGCGACCGATACATAAATGGTGAATACGATTGTTTTCTCCAAAATTATCATCAGTTCAAGTTGTATTACAGTGGTATCATAGGCTAGCACTGAACACAACCACCAGTAGCTAGAGTGATGACGTACATCCTGCTGGGGTGTCATACAGGAAGCAGAGGTACTTCAATTCCCCATGATCCCGAGCGAGGTGGCCTAGCTTTTGTTACTGGGTGCCTATGGCCCGTGTTTTAAACTGTATTAATGATATTGTTATGTATGTTTGATTAAATGTGTTTTTAAATATAAATTAGCATTGACGTCTCACTTGGCAAAATATCAACTTGGTCTCGTCGCCATATGGCTGAAATAATGACCAACGATTACAGTGGGCATGAGTGAAAAAGTAACTTTTGAGGTATGTTTTTATTTCTTGAATATCTCACCTCGTGTAGCCTCATTCGTAACAGAACTTCAGCGGCAAGTGGCGAACACTTTCATGTCTTCAGTGGACTTTGAAGCGTCTTCCTTGAGCAAGTGGTTGCTTGGGGGCTCGGAAAGAGGTGAGGCTCGAAAACATGAGTTCGTGTATAGTTTGTTATGTATATAAGTGCCTTCCGGTAAAAATCTGCAAATGTTCGCGTCACCGTCGGCACGTTGTCGAATGTTCGTGTTCACATTTCCACATTTAAGTGTTTTGTTGGTCACGTTTTAGAGTTTGCGGGTTAGAATATGTCTTCAGCAACCTATGCTTGCCGTGAGAGACGAATATCGGGATCGGGGGTCAGGTTCCTTGACTTGATTGATGCATGTCATCGTATCCCAATTGCGTAGATCGATGCTCATTATGTCAATGAGATTGTGTGGTCCAGACTCGATTATTTACAGACCGCCTTCATATAGCTGAAATATTGCTGAGTGCGGCGTTAAACACCAAAAAAACAAACTATGTATCAAAGTTACGACAGCGAGTTGCTATCGTCACTCAGAGGATCACTGGTTTGGAGAGAAACCAGAATTTTCTGAGGAATAAACTGGCAGAAAAGCCCACTCTTGAATCATCTCCACTGCTGATGATGGGGATGACATGATTCTGCTTGCAATGGATGAGGGAACCCCTGATCCTGAGACCCCTAAGAAAGACGAAACTAAGACCCCATCTGCGGCATCAACTGCATGCCGCAGAAAGACACCTGAATCTCCCTCCTC